CACAAGAAGGTCTATTTGGATTGGAGACTGAGAAGACTCCTGGGAAATAACCCAAGTTGTGTCAATTACTAGGATCCAGAGCCACGTTCAGTAAAATAGTGAGTGGCCAGATAGAAGTCCATTCTCTGAAGGCTAAGGGGTTTACTGAGAAATAAATTATCCCAGAAGATAGAGGGGAGCTCTGCAAGGCCTCTCTCATGGCGAAGCCATGCGTACCTCATGTTGTCTGGCACTCAGATGTGTGCCCTGGTCTACCCGTGCATGAGTTCCATAGGGACGAGTGGGAGCTTTAAGCCAAAACTGATGTAGCAATTTCATTCGGCCCCATAAAATCCTGTAGTACAGTCAACCCTGCTTCGAGGCCCCTCCAGCTGATTAGAGGGTTTAGCGGGCTGATTAGAGCATGGAGTCCAACTAGAACTCAACTGAGTTCCAACCTTCCACCTTCCAGCTGTGTGGCCTCAGGCTAGTGACTTAATAGTCGTGAATCTCAGTTTTTTCATCTGTCAAATGAGAATTATGTTTTCCTTTTCAAAGTCTATTGAGGTAATTAAATTGAAAATGGCTATAGAGTGCTGACGTGCTGCCTGGAGAATGGCAACTGTGTGTTAGTATTACCCCTCTTGCTGCCATGCTTGAGGTTGTCATTACAGTTTCACAGAAAGAGGAGAGACTTTCCCAGCCCCGTGAGTTCATCACAGGCGCCTTGTGTGGAGGAGTCGTAATAGTTACTTGCAGGAGCTGCAGAGCCCTCAGAAGCAGCGGAAAGCCTTCCTCACTGAGTGAAGTGGCATTGAGTTAGTGGCCAGGCTAGGCTGAGATAGGGGCACCAGGGAGGCTGTGGCACTGTTGTACTTGCAGGAAATCAGTGGCTACTGGTGGGGAAGTTCTTCCGCCATTGAAGAACTGGTGCAATGTCAGTGTCCCCCAGGAGCAGTCCTTTCTTGGAAGCACGTGAAACACTTTTTGGAAACTGAAGGACATACTTGGAGAGGAATTTCAGGGAACTGGTGGGGAAGCTGGAAAACTTGAGTTCGTTTATTTAGTTAAAAATATTTATTGAGCATCCACTATATGTCAGGGCCTCTTCTAGGCAGTAAGAAAACATGGTCAGTAAGATGGGCAGGGTCCCTGCTTTCACGAAGCTAGCATTCTAGAACTGACTGTAAATATATAGATACACAAGAGATTTTCATTTAGTAATAAGTCTGTGGAAATAATAAAATGTCTTGGGAACTATGACAGAGAGTGAACGGTAGTCAGGCAGGGCCTCACTATGCAAATGGCGTTAGAGCTAAAACCTGAATGAGGAGGAGGAGCTGTCCTTGGGAAGATCTGGGGTTACGTCTCTCATACAGAGGGGGCATCGAATGCATAGACTCTGGGTCAAGAATGAGCAACAAAGCAAGGATGCTGGAAGCAAACTACAAGTGGAAGAGCAGTTTGATGGGGAGAAGTAGGAAGAAGGCATATGGATTGCAAAGGACCTCTTAGTCACACACAAAAATGTAATTGAAAGAAAAAGCTCCTAAACTGAAAAGCTAGCGGAAGCCAAAATTAGCAATAGGGTGCAATATCGTTAACTTCCAAACAAAATAATGAAGCTGTGGAGTCAATTATCAAAGAGGAGGCGTGTCATCACTTTCAACATAATTTAGTATCCAGTACAATGTTGGGTGGTGAGGTTGCATGAACACCACGTTCTTAGGCATTGTCCAATCCATTTCTTATCAAAAAGGGATCGAGGAACTGTATTTTCAAATCTGATTCTAATAGAAACCAGTGGATGTCATGGAATGACCCTGGACCTGAAGCCAGAAAGCCAGGGGTTATGTTCAAATTACAGGACTGTGCCGTATCTACGTGAAAGACCTTGGGAAATCCACTTGGCTGCATTGAGATTGTTTCCTTATCTTTAAGTTTAAAGTAATTGTTACTGCGCAGGGAAACTGTGAAAATTAAAAAGATAATGTATCTGAAAGTTCCTTGGAAATTGTGAATTGTCACCCAAATATTTCTTATTGGTCTTATCATTCTTTTTCACATTTCTTTGAAGTTTCTTGTCATTGTTGTTTCCAAGTGAAACCACTAGAGGTCAGTTTTACATAAATTGTTTAAAGAAATCACAAAAGTGGGGAAAAAAAAGAGAACATTTTCTCACTAAGCAGCATAAAATAATAAGTTTAAGGCACAGAAAAAAAATAAAGATGGTTTTAACAAAGATTTTTTGATAACTGGAACAACGCTTCTTCCCAAAATTGTTACTCAATAGACTTAAGTAGATAGGGAGAGGAAGGAAAGATGGAATGTGTTGTGTCTATTCATGATGTCCACACAGCTTAAAGTTTACATTGATTATTGATTCTTATCCTTCAAACAGGCCTATGATGAGCCTCGTTTTGAAAATAAAGAAACTGAAACATAAATATGTGTAACATACCGAAGATCAGACAGTTTGAATCTGAAGTCTTTCCACTGTCATACTTGGGAAATAATGCAGTAAAAATGGTGTCTCTATACTGGATAACGTATCACATGACAGGTTAACATTACAGATTTTCCACTTGCAACTCTAGATAATTTATTTAGTTCCCAGTCTCACAAATGAGTTTAGGGAAAACATTTTATTGTGTGTTTCTCAGAGTATCTAGAAGTTTCTGAGCACAGTGCTGGTAAATACAGTATTGAGATAATTAGCCATGGAGAAAAATATATACCAGCTTGCTCTTAGGAAAAATATATTGAACAGAAGCAATAACCTAGTCTTTTAAAATGTTTACTTAGTTATTAAGGTTTTGTTTTATTTTATAGAGATAAATATGCAAATCTGCCTTGTTCAGGGGTGGGAGGGGACCAGCATCATGTTCATGAAGTAATGAGGTCGGGTAGATGACAGGTTTACATCTTGAGAGATGACAAGAATCTATGTCTTGGTTTTCATTGCGTCCACAACATCTAGCACGGTGCCTAGAGCAGAGGAGGGGCAGTGATGAATAAGCTCATGTGGCTCAACATGCACATAGAGGCAATTTGCAAAGAAAAAAATAAGTTAACTGGGCCCTGACCCCAAGAGTTTGCAAGCTTATACTCAGCTTGAAATGAAAATACAAATTCAAGGACAAATTCTTCCTTAATCTGAAACCTTTGGCATCTAACATGATGTCTGGAACTTAGTAGGTATCCAGTATATTCCAGAAACGTGGAATCTCTTTAATAAGAAGGAAACAGAATCCATTTGATGCAAAATCCCCAGACTCTTGAGGAAGAAGAAGAAATCATATCAGGTCCATAACAGACTTAGTTCTGGATCCCAGGATTCTAGAGGGCCCCTTCCCGAGTCTCTCTTCCCCAGGAGCACTCACTTCATTCTGCCGCATCTCTGGCTTGTCGTCATCTCACAATTTCTACAGTCTCAAAAGAAGAGAGTTAAAGAGGTTTCCATTCTTTGAAATCTTAGCTGGGTTTCTAACAGGAAGGGAGAAGTTTTGTGAAAAGAAATGAGGGAAAGAAGACTCATGGTGGACTCTGCTAGTATCCAACAAATGGTAACTGCCCTCTGCTCTCCTTCCTAAATTATTTATCTCTCCATTGCTCATGACACTAATATATATAATTTAATGCATCTCTTGTGCCTAAAATAGTGCCTGGAACTTAATAGGTATTCAGTATATGCTGGCTGAATGGGAATGAATAGAATTGTTGAATTGGATTGCATTATATTTTGGACGTTATTTTAATCGTACTTTGTCCATTCTTCTTCCAGTTTGGAAGTTGCAGTTTCTCTGCAAGGAAAATTGTTTGATGGTGCTATTCTCAAATGGGTTAAATGGGTTCTCCATTTTCAGAGAAAAAGAAAACTTTAATTTTCAGCATTTGCCATGACACATCAGGAAAAATACAAAGTTTCCTGTACTCTATGGAAAATGCAGTAATAGTTTTAAGTAAATACTTTTATTTCTAATCAAAACTTTCTTTTCTGAACATTTGCCCTCGCATTATTCATTTCTTCACCCAAGAAATTGTTTGGGAGCCCCAAGGTCTCATTGTTCCTCCCTGCATTTGTTTTATGGTATCAAAGGTTAAAACTTGGATTGCAATCTTAGGAGGAAATTAATTCACTGATTAAGAAAAATGCACTTTAAGCAATACACATTTAAATAACTGACAAGCATAGGGCAATGTATTTCTGTGGTTTTTTTTTTTAAAGACCCTTTCTTTCTACTTAAAATTTTAAGCCGTTGCAATTCTTCCACCCTCTAGCCTGGAGAAACCCAGCACGAATTACTAATGAGGGAGCCCCAATTTGCACTGCAGTGACCACCTTCAGAACAAAAGGGTCAGAGCTGAAACCAGGAAAACAGCAGTATTTTTTATCAACCAGTTGCTTGAAGCACTTTTAGACCTTAGCTCTACTTGAAAACATTTTGCAATGTTCTATCATCCTTCAGCTGAAGGCACTTGGCCCCAAAGACTCTGCTTTCAAATAAAGAAATGTTCACTTAAAAAATACCTCCAATCCTTGACAAAAATTTTTCTCTTCCTTGGAAACCAAGAGCCTATTAATTTATGACATATACAAAGGATTTAATTTTTACTGCACTGAGATTTTGCCTAGTAGCTTTACCAGAATCAATAAGAGAAAAGGGTTAGAATAAAGACGGCGCAAGAATAAAGATGCTCTAAAGGAGAGAATTTTTGAAGATTAATGTCTGGTTGTGTGTCTTCTCTCGGAGCAGTGCGGAAGAGGGAATTTCCCCCTGCCCTGGGTGAGTTGCAACATATCCCTGGCCTGGGGTTCTACCTCCTCCCAATGTTCTCTTACCCAACATCTAGAGAGATTTTACAATAAGTAACAGGCCATTGATTTTCCAAAATAGAAGGAAAGTGGGAGGATGCTAGGAAGGAGGGAAGGGAAAGTCATTGAGAGCTAGACTGGGGTTGAGAGATGATGGAAGAAAGCTTATTTATTATAATAGAAAATTTTGTTTGTCCTTCCTCACCTTTGGGTCCCGGTGAAATTGTGTGTGTGGCACAGACTTCAGCGGTAGGACGACTATCGATGTCCAGACCCAGACTCCGAATTTGCAAAAGAAAAAATACCAGGAGGATGAACTGGTTCCTTCGAAGTGGGGCTCCAAAGCCACCCATTGCTCTGGTTCTTCCAAAAAGGGTCGCCCAGAAGAGCCAAACAAACAGCTTTATTTTAAGTAAAACTTTGTGCTTTGGGGAAGAAAGTGAAGTATCTGGAGCGCACATTCCAAAAAAGGGCTGCAGAGACGGGAAAGAAGCATATCCTAGGTTGTTTATTTTCTCAGTATTCCAAATGGACCATACATTGTCCAGACTGTTTATTTTCAAGTGACAACAGTTTATTGAAAATTATCTCTGAACTAAACACTCAAGTGTGCAGGTCAGTAGAAACATCCCACAGAACAGAGAGGAGAGAGATGCCTTTTGCTTGGTACATGAGCTGACAATTTAATCCCCTATATTGTATTTAAATATTGGGTTCCAGAAAGATTGAACCAGAGATTTCCTGAATTACCTGCATGTTATGTAAGCACTATGCACGGCTTTGAGCTTTTTCATAAGGAAATATTCATGACCTGTTTGTGGCAGTTGAACAGTAAATCTCTCACTGCTCCCCATGACCTTATTTCCTTCCCTTGCTACAAATAATTGTTTTGGGATTAAACCCAAAAGGAACGAACATCAGCTTTTCTACAAAGCAATTTGCCAGTAAGTATCAAGAATATTAAAAATGTTTATAGCCTTTAGCCTAGTAATTGCTCTTCTGGTGTGCTATTTAAGGAAGTATTTTGAAATGTGGCCATGGCTTTATTTGAAATGGTATGGCAAAAGGGGGGAGGGGCATCAATTAACTAACAACAAGTCAATGGTTGGTAAGTCATAAAAGCACAAATGTAGGAGAGAGTGTGATGTGACAATTTTAGTAAAATGATGTTTGTAGCAAGTTTTTATAAAATGGAGGAAAAAACATGGCATTATGTTTATTAAAAAGAAGGATATGTATAAATATAGATATGTAGCTACAGATATACACATATAAACAAGAGTGGAAATAGAGATCTCTCTCTCTCTCTTTCTACACTTATGGATCTATCTATCCATCCATCCAACCATCCATCCATCTGCCTGTCCACCTACCTATTTGTTCCATCAACGCATGACCTGTGTGAGTAACCCAGTCTTAGTAAGATACTGAAAAACTGGAACCAGAATCACATATAGCAGGGAGATGCCTTACCTTCTCCATTCTTAGAAAGGTTGACTAAGAGTTGGGCTAGAAGAGGTTTTGGATCTACTTTCCTTGAAGTGGGCAAAGAAGGACCTTACAGATCTTAATAAAGACTAATAAAGATTATCTCTCAGAGATGTCATTACCAGTAATGGTCAATCTAAGAAATGCAGATGTATTCCTAGGGCTGCTGGAACAAAGTCTCACAAGCTGAGTGGTCTCAACAACAAAAACTTACTGTCTCACAGATCTGGAGGCTAGAAGTCTGGCAGGCTATGCTCCTTGTGAAGGTGCTAGGAAAGGATCTGTTCCAGGCCTGTCTCAAAGCTTCTGGTAATTCCTTGGCTTGTGACAACATAACTGCAATCTCCACATGGAGTTCTCCATGTGTGAGTGTGTCTCTGTGTCCAAATTTCTCCCTTTTTATAAGCATACCTGTCATATTTGATTAGGGCCCACTCTAATGACCTCATTTGAACTTGATTACCTCTGGAGACGCTATCTCCATATCTGGTTACTTTATGAGGTACTGGGGGTTAGGTCCTCAACATATGAATTTTTTTGGCTGAAGAGACAATTCAACCCATAACAATAGGCTTATAGTATAACTGAGCTGATCTTTTCATAAGCAGCACAGAGAGAGGGAGGGAAAGGAACTGGCATCGATTGAATAGTCATTATGTGCAAGGATAAGGTTGGTCTCTTAATTTTAGTTTATCTTACTTAAGCTTTAGCATAGCCCTGTGGAACAGATGATAATCCTCCTATTTTGCATATGAAGTACATGAGGTTCAGAAAAGTTAAGCAGTTTGCCTAAGGTCACTGTGATGGTTGATTTTATGGTCAATTTGACTGGATTGTGGGCGCTGGATATTTGGCTAAACGTCGTTTCTGGGCATGTCTGTGAGGGTGTTTCCAGATGAGATTAGCATTTGAACTGGTAGACTGAGCAAAAGGGATTGGCTTCCCTCCTGTGAGTAGGCCTCATTCAATTGTTAAAGCTCCAAATAGAAAAAAAGGTGGAGGAAGGAAGAATTCGCTCTTTGTCCTACTGGTGGCCCCGAGACTTTGGTTTTCTCCTGCACTTGGACTGGAGCTTACAGCATCAGCCCTTGGTTCTTGGATCTTTGGACTTGGACTGAAACTGTGCCACCTAGTTCCCTGGGCCTCCAGCTTGCAGACAACAGATCATGGAACTTCTCAGCCTCCATCATTGTGTGAGCCAAGTCCTTATAATAAGTCTTTCTCTCTCTAGACATAGATATAGGTATATAAATAAATAGATATATATGGGTATAGATATTGATATAAATATAGATATGTCCTGTTGGTTCTGTATCTCTGGAGAACCCTGACTAATATCATCCATTGAAAAAAGGACAAAAGAAATTCAAACACAAATTATGCACCCAAATTCCTCTTTTAAAATGCTATTTGGTTTCCATAAAGGTGAATATTCTCGAGCTTTGAGGATAGATTAATTTTCACACATTTTTTTCACTTAAAACGTCCAAAGTGGATGCATTCGTCATGTCAACAATGATAGGAAAATAGTGGGAATTAATAGAATGGTGTTAGAAGCCTCAAATATCATGTCTGTCATAACCAGATGTATGACATGGAGCAAATCACTCAACTTCAATTGCCACAAAGCACATAAAGTGAGTTTGGACTTGATATTTAATGTACTTTCTGAATTCTATTTTCTTTGAAAATAGGTATTCTTTAAGTGATTTAGACTATTCTAAATCTACTTTTTTAAATTTCTTTTTCAAGCATTCCATGGCATGCAATGAAAATACATTCATTACACCTATATATAGAAATCTACTGGTAATAGTTTGAAGCAAATAACAGTCCTCACTATTCTTTCTTGGGATATCCTATTCTTGTTCTTTCCAACCTCTTTTTTTTTAAACTCAACAATGCATATAAATATCTTTCCAGATTAATGAAGCCAGCCTTCGTTGTCTAGTGGTTAAGATTTGGCGCACTCACCGCTGTGACCCAGGTTCATTTCCTGGTCAGAGAACCACACCACCCACCCATCTGTCAGTTGTCATACTGTGGCAGCTGCATATTGCTGTGATGCTGAAAGCTATGCCAGTAGCATTTCAAACACCAGCAGGGTCAACCATGGCGGACAGTTTCCAGCACAGCTCCCATACTAAGACAGACCAGGAAGAAGGACCTGGCCACCCACTTCCGAAAAAATTGGCCATGAAAACCCTGTGAATAGCAATGGAGCACTGTCTGATATAGCACCAGGAGATGAGAGAATGGTGTAACAAAGACCAGGTAGGGTTTCACTCTACTGTACACAGAGGCACTAGGAGTCGGAATCAACTTGACGGCACTAACAATAACAAATATTAATGATTAGACTATTATACCAAATTTTGAATTGCTTCAGATTATTTCATCAAATATTTTGTATATAAAACAATTATTTAATCAGTGCTATATTGTTGGGAATTTAGTTTCTAATATTATTAACATAAATAACTCTGTGATGAACATCTTTAGAGCTCAATCTGTGTACTCATCCCTTTTGACCCTTGAAAAGAGACAAAGGTATATGGTTTGGTAACTCACTGAATGTTGAGAGCAACAGATGAGAAGAAATTTTTTTTAAAATAATTCATATATTGCAGTCAGATTGTGCTCTCCTTTCTTATGGAGACTCTGGTCTCCAGAATTGATTTTTTTCTCATCTCACTTGGGAATTATACTTCCCTTTATTCCTCATTGATAAATATGGGGAGCTTATAAATAGGTGGATATTCAAAGAAGAGGACTTTCATAGACCAGAGAGGTCTGCTCTATTTTTAGCTGGGATTTACCCAGAAATGTGATCTTAAAAATCACTTTGTAGCTTCAATCTGGATGACTGGAAAAACACTATTGCTACTAAGAAAATATGGTTAAGGAAAGAACTAGTTTTGAGGGAAAAATAATGAGGCTGGGTGAGTTTAAGGGTCAGGGAAATAACAGGATGAAGATTATAGGCAGGCATTTTGGAATGCAGATGCAGATTCAAATATCTAGAATTTGATATTTTAATTTGAGAGTCATAGGTATAAAGCTTAAAGATGAAGGTAGAATGTTGAGTGAGAAAAGTTCAAGAGTATAAATGTTGAAAGAGTCTATATTCAGGGGCCAGGAGAAGGAAGGGCTAGGAAATAAATCAGAGAAGTAGAAAAATGTCATAAAAGCCAAAGGACAAGAAATTTTAAACATATCATTGGTGGCAATTAGTGCATAGAAGCATAAGATGAGGTTGAGAGCAAGCCATGGGAGTCAGGAGTCAATAATTTATAAGTAGAAACTTACAAAGGAAAGAGACCATTTAGTGGAGAGAGCTTATAAAGATAAGAGGAAGGGAGTGACGTAGAGTCTTATGACCACTGGGAAAATTATTACTGAATAGTCATAGTAATAAAAAATATAATAACAATAACACTCACTTTTATTGACCCAAATGTCTCTTACTTACTCACTCTCAGCACCTAGGAACATGCTACACTTCTTCTTAAGGGTTCTAAACAGTGTTTAAACAAGAATGCAGTTAAAATTGAATGGGATGGTAGGTAAGGCAGTGGGGGTCTAGACTAATTTTATAAGAAACTTGTTGCTGAAGAAAAGAAAAATAATGTGAAAAAAGTATTCATACGACCCTGTCTGTGAATCATTGTAGGGGATGGTGTATATGGATTAAAATTGTGAGCCTGCAGCTATTGTTTAAAATCTTTGTACAAGTTCCTTGGTAACCCAATAAATATGGAATGGAATAAATAAATGACATAAATTTTAAAATTTGAGAGATGATTGAATAAATAGAAGGAAGATGTCAAATTATGTTCAGTGTATTATTTTTAGTGTCTGAAAAATATCTAATGCCCACCAGAAAGATTGCTATGGTGACTTAGAAGAGCTTACTCTCTGTTATCTGGAAAGTGAAGAACTACAGGACAATGCTGCTTTTTTTTTTAAAATATTGTTTTGAAATAGAC